TTGTATACAAAACTGCCAAATTAGCTGGGTGTGGTAGTGCATACCTACAATCCTAGCACTCTCAGCAGCTAAGGTAGAAGGATCATAAGTTTGAGCCCAGTTTGGGCAATTTAGCAAGACCCTGTTTCAAAATAAAGAATAAAAAGGACTGGCATATAGCTAGGACAAAGGCCCCAGGTTCAGTCTCTAATACCAAAAACAAAACAAAACCCTGCCAATTGTCTTACAAAGTGGTTGTGCTGTTTTGCATTCCTACCAGCCATGAAGGAGAGTTCCTGTTACTCTAAATCCTTAGCAGCTGTTGATATCATCAGTGCTCTAGATTTTGTTCATTCTAATAAGGGTATAATAGTCATTTTTTTAAAGAGTATGACAGAACAAAGAAAATTGGTTTTGATTATTTTGCAATATAGAAATTTCATTCTGGCTAGGCATGGTGGCACATGCTTGTAATCCCAGCACTTGTGAGGTTGAGGCAAGAGGATGGCCGCAAGCTACGTGGAGAGTTCAAGGCTAGCCCAAACTATATAGCAAGACACTGTCTGAAAAAAAATTCCATTCTGAACAACTGACTCACTTTGTGTCTGGGTTTGCTACCTTAAGAAGACAACACCACAGTAAGTGTCCAATCCTGAAGTCTCTCAAAACAATAGTAGAGTTCAGTCCTTTAAATAAACCCTTTTGTTTTACTTTTTGTTTGTTTGGTATTTTTAGGAAAACCTCTTTGTTAGAGGGTAAATCTTGGTTCCCTTTTGTCCTGGTCATTAGGCTTTCGGCTAAAAAGATATTTAATATTTACTGCATACCAGCCTTAGGACATGGCACGTAACATCTTATTTCATTGTCATAATTTTCCTATAAAATACTTTATGTAGTCACTATTTATAAGTCCTCAAATGCTCAATTGGATTTTTTCCAACCTGTCTAGTATTTATATACCACCCTTTCTGTCACTGGGTGGGATTGAAAGAGGCCCACTCAAACAAGAGATAAGGACTTTGAATTACTAGGTTTAGGTTTTTTGTTGTTGTTGTTTTATTTTGTTCTTAATGAGACAGGGTACTGGTATGTAATTCAATTGGCCTTCAACTCACTAGATATCCCAGGATGACCTTGAATTCAAAACTATCCTCCTGCCTGCCTCAGCCTCCTGAGTGCTGGGATTACAAGCATATACCACCATTCCCGAATCCTTGGCTAGGTTCTTGACTCAGTATCACCAAAAAGTATTTCAGAATATGCAATGAGAAGCACATACAAGGTGAAATCAAAAAGTATACACTTAACTGGGCCTGGTGTTTCATGCTTATACTCTCACTTTGGGATCACAAGAATCTCAAGTTCAAGGCCAGCCTGGACAATTTAGCAATACTTTGTCTCAAAATAAAATATAAAAAGGACTGAGCATGTAGCTCAGTGGGAATGCCCTGGGCTCAAACCTCAATACTGCAAGACAGAAATACACACTCAAAAAAGAGCACAGGTTCTCGAGGGGTGAGGTGCAGAATATCTAAGATAAGGAGTGTTTGTGTGGTTTGGAGGTATCTTCAAGACAGGTGATCTGGGATGTTTATCTTTTGACTTACTTATCATCTAGTGTCTGTTTCTTTATTGTCAAGTTGTTGTTCAGAGGACTAAAGCAAAATCTGGCTTTATCAATAGGTGAAATGTAAACCATTTGTATGTGCTTGAAGTTTGGAGATATGGTAACCAGTTAATAATACTGTATCTCTGAAAATGGAAGTCTTTGGAATTTATATAACAGAAGAAAAACACAGACCAAATTTATATACTTGTTATATTTGTACTACCACTAGAGATTTAAGAGGAAAGAGCCTGGAAGAAAAACAAGCCTAATAATAATAATAAATTATAACCTTGAGTTAAGTTGATTATATTTCAAAGCTGCAGTTGTCTTTAAATTATAATTTCAAAGTTACAATTTCCATGTCTCCTTTTAACCTATCTTTATTTTCTCTACCTCACTTCCACCTCAAATAGTCCTATTTCTCGTTTCATGCTTAATGAATCCCAGCTTACCCTTCAGCCCTCATTCAGATGCTACTACTCTAAAGAGGCTTTCACAATCTCTTTAAGTATTATTCCCCGTACTCTTATAGTACATTGTATCACTAGAGCATAAGAAATTATGAAATTTGTGATTTAGCAATTAATTAGTGTCATTTCTGCTGAATTGTAAGTACCATAAATGTCATTTTTAATGTGAAGTATTATTCCACACATATAGGTGCTCAGTCATTGTATAAGATTCTGGCATGTAAGTACCATAATAAGAAGTTGAATGCTGATATAGTATAACTTCAAAACTTCTTTTTGGCAGAGGATATTGTTAATAGTGTATCAGGATTTAAAACCCACATCATTCAAACCACCCTGCTTAGATTATATTCTGTCCCAGTCTATCCACTTGTACTAGATCTGAAGGCACAGACAGCTATCTCAAAAATAGCAGGATATAGTATGGTAACCATCCTTAATCCCCTATTAACTTAATCTGAAGCCCTGTATAACTTATACTGTTTTACCATGACTGATCTTAGTTGAATCTGGTTTGTTAGATTGCTGTTTGGTATCAACGGATTTTATTCAAAACTGTATGACTGATAGTATCAAGTCTGAGAGTATAGGCAGCTACACCGAACACGACAAGATTCACTACGATACTCATTCTGGTTTGATTATTACCTACTTTTGAAGTTTTACACTATCTACAATGTTTTGTTCTTATTAATATTGTTATGTACTGCTATATTCAATTATACTAAGCCTGATGATCTAGCCAATTCTATTGAAGATAACAAGAGACAACACAGTAACCATTGTAGATTACCTTATACTGTGGTTTTATATGATTTTTTGTTTCATGTTTTTATAGGAATTCGTTTTGTTTTGTCTTGCTATGCTTTATTTTTCTCTCTAATACAGGATAGAAATACATGTAGAGGGGCTGGGGATTTAGCTCAGTGGCATAAGCGCCTGCCTTGCAAGCAGGCAGTTGTGAGTTCGATCCCCGGTACTGCTAAAAAGGAAAAAGAAAAAAAAAAAAAAAACCAAATACATGTAGAGACTCATGCATGTGTAGAACCTATAAACAGTTTATGAGAACTGATAATGCATGATGAAATGAACAACTGCTTTGAAGAAAAAAGTGCTGATCCCATAGTGCCATGATGTGAAATCCAGCAATACTATTATTCTTTGTTCAGAGTGATTTTAGCCTGCTTTAGTTTGTTTAATCTTAGCATAAATGAAGGTATAGACAACTGCATGTATGTTTAAGTGTATAGGATTGATAACCATATTACTAAGTTTTTGTTAGATAGTTGAACAGAACTGTTTGCAGTCTCACTGTTAGAATCCCTACTTGTATGCTTCACTTTTGTAACTTGAACAACTGTTTGTAAGAGGACAATATGTAATCATCAACTAGTGATTTCTTACTGTTTTTTTTTTCTTTGAAATTATGTATTATTACTGTCATTCCCTTGAACGGTTTTACTTTGTCTTGATATGTTTGATGCTACAGTATACGAAGTTATATTCAAAGATTTCAAGGAAAGAGACACTATGGTAATTACTTTTATGTCAAGATTATCTTGTGGTGAAACACTATTTTGCTTAAATGGTTATGTTTTGACCTGCGCTGTTTTGTTACGCCCTCTTTTATCTCAATCTCTTTGTTATTATTTACTTTTTTATTTTTATCCTTTTAATTAAGGGAAAAATAAATAAAAAATAGCAGAATATATTATAGTAACCCACTTTGATTTCCTATTAACTTGATTTGAAACCCTGTATTGCTCTCACCATCTTGTTTTGACTGATTTTTCTCTATTCTGTTTTGCTTGATTGTACCAAGTTCGAAAGTATAGACAACTGTGAAGACAATAAGATTCATTATGATGCCCATTCTGGTTGACTATTATCTTTTTTTGAAGACCTGTAATGTCTCCAATGTTTTGGTTTTATTGGTTTTGTTCTTTACTGTTTTGTTCAATTTTATTATAACTGATAATATAGGCAATTCTTTTTAAATAGCAAGAGGCATTATGGGAACCATTGTTGATCACCTTGTATTATGTTTTTACGTTATATGTTATGTCCATCCTTTTGATTTGACTGACTCTGTTCTGTTATGTCACATTTAGTTTTACTCTCTTCAAAAAAAAGTAATAAGAACTGTGGGATTAATAAAACCCAAAATGTGTAATTGTCATTGTACAAAAGAGGAAAAGAAAGTGCTCTAAAGGATATAACTGCATGTATATTTAAGTGTATAAGACAGATAACCATATTACTGAGTTTTGTTGGATCATTGAACAGAACTGTTTGCAGTCTCACTGTTTGAATGTCCACTTTATATGCTTTAATTTGTAACTTGAACAACTATTTCTAAGATAACAATATGTAATCTATTAACTAGTGATTTCCTACTGTTTATTTTTTCTGAAATCTGTATAACTTGTACCCTTTTTCTGCTTTTTTTCTTTTTCTCCTTAAATAAAATTTTAAAAAAAGAAAGTATGTATTATTTCTACCCTTTTTCTATTTTGTTTAGTCTTTCTTTAAATAAAATTTTTAAAAAACCTTCTTTTAAATCACACCATACACAGAACCTAACAGGAAGTATTTCTCAATCAAATTTATCCAGAAACTCTTAACTTGATTTCAGTTCTAAATTGGACATGTAAAAATAAAAGTTATTCATTAGCAATATGTACTGGCTATGGTGTGTTTCTGAGATAAGGAATTGAAAGTCTTCAACAAGTCTCCCTAGTTCCAAGTGTGTAAGCTCTTGAGAAAAGTCCCACATTTCTGAGCAAAGAAAGCTGGTTAGAAAAAAATCCCAGGACTACATGTCCAATTAGGAAAGTCTGTAAGAGGTGGGCCCATCTGTTAGTTTACCAGTGTTTCTAACTTCCTGGTTAGCTGAAACTACTTGTTTTGTGGAAGGACAAATCTCAGCATCAGGCCTTAAAATGAGGAGTTCCCAAACTTTTTAGGAGCAAACAGCATGCATCATCAGCACCTTACTGACAGACTTCTTGAGTCCAACATTACAAGTTGCTACTCAGAGGCCATGCAATATAGATGAACCAGACTCAGGATGAACTTTTCTCACTTTAATATTATATTCTTTTTTTTTTGTCTTTTTCCTTTTTATCGGTACCGGGGATCGAACTCACGACTGCCTGCTTGCAAGGCAGGCGCTTATGCCGCTGAGCTAAATTCCCAGCCCCAATATTACATTCTTTTAACGAATATTAGAAAAGTAACTCATCATTATGGTCTTGAGATGTGTACATTTTTCTACAAACACTTGTTGAATTTCCCTGACAGAAGATCTTGTACTTTTCCATGTCCATCCTGGAGTCAACTATGCTCCAGGAAATTCTGTTTTCCTTTAATGAAAGAATGATGTTTAGAAATTAAGACCTAGGTGCTTTCCTATGCGGATTCTCTCTCAACTTGTGTGAATTCTGACACCCCACTCTGACCTTTCTTTGCCCCCTATACCCCAAAAAGTCTTGGTTGACCTCACCTAATAACTTTTGGACCAAGTTGTTTGCAAACGAAAAGAGGAAAAACATAGAGCTAATTTTTAAAAGAGTTTCCTAGACATTTCCTAGTTGTACAAATAACACTTTTATAATTTGACCCTTTATCTTTTCATATACTTAGTATTTTTCTCTCAGATCATTTTTTATATTATTCATCATAAGCAATAATATCTGAAATCATAGATTTGATGAGTTACTTTTCTAATATTCGTTAAAAGAATATAATATTAAAGTGAGAAAAGTTCATCCATCTATTGCCTGATAATACCACAGGTCCATTTGCTACTCCTTGGGCAACACTTGTGTTTGTGGATTCCTGAGCTGCAGCCTCCTACACTTTTTGAATGGAACTTTACTGATGTATCCTTTCTTTCTCAGGCAGGAGCTACATTCCAGCATGCAGTGCAGTCTCTCAGTGAGGCCTGGTGTCCTCAGGATTCCAGCCTCCCTTATGAGACAGCTTTTCTGGCACTGTCAGTGAAACTTCTTAAGTGTGTGACCCATGTAGCTCCTGAAGTAGCGAGACAGGTGGCTGTCCCCATGGTGGGTATGATCAATGCCAAAGAGCCATCCGTGACTTCACCCAGAGCCAGGGAGGATGGGTATGTGTGTTGGGTCCCTGGCTTTGCCAGACATCTGGACTCTTGATATTAATACCAGAAACTCTAATTAGGACCCTTTTTGGAAGTAGAAGCCAAGCAGGAAAACAGGCATCCCTACTATGCAGGACTTTGTTGCCATGGAAGAGAGGAATAGACAGAAGCTTGCCCTGTGGGGGCTGGGCTCCAAAGTCATGCTACCTAAAATACTATTGTCCCTAAAGGTGTATTTCCTACACCTAAATATCTATAAAGTGTATTGGCAGTAGGGCTCTAGTCTCAGCCTTACTATACTTTGCTCCTTGGTAAATTGATGGGTCTTCATTCCTTAAAATCCTTAGGTGTGTGAGAGGAAGTTCAGAATCACTTTAATATTATCTAACAAAAAGCAGTTGGTCTCAACTGGTAGTGATAACTGGAGGAAGCATTCTAAACCAAGTTTCATTAAATGTTAGAACTTGTACTGTCGTGGGGTTCTCCATAGCTAGGATTGGCAGGAACTATAGTAAGAGCTATATTTTTTCTGAGAAAAATGCCTTTGACTGTAGGATTTTCTCTGTTTACCTAGGAAAATCTGCAGAGCTGAAGAAGTTGACTTATTTTTGACTGAGCTGCACTTCTTTGACTGATCAAATGATTGATTTTTGGCAATTAAAACAGAAAAATAAATTTAGAAAAACATTGTCTTCATTTAGTCAGAATGTACTTTGCTGACTAAGTTATTTCCTACTGATAAAGTTGGAAACAGTTTCCAGAACCCTACAGAGATTTTGTACTTTCTGTTTTCACATGAGTTTTAATGAGGTTTTGTTAAAGCAAAAACCTCCAGACACAATATAATGATTTATTATTGAAATTCCAGGCTACAACTAGGCCTTTGCTTGAGATATTGTGGAGAAAACAGAACAAAGAATACTATTCCTTTATATTTAGCTTTGGCCTTTTGATAAAAATCTTATCTAATTCGGTAATCTAAAGAATTTCAGGGAGATTTTTGGTTGAAACTTGTTGTTTCAAGTTAAGGATTTCCTTTCAAATTCATCCCTAAATTCCCTAGGCTGAATTTCTTCCACTTTTTTTTTTTTTGTATTTTTCCTTTTTATCGGTAGCAGGAATCGAACTCACGACTGCCTGCTTGCAAGGCAGACGCTTATGCTGCTGAGCTAAATCCCCAGCCCCTAGGCTGAATTTCTTTTATGCAGTGTTAAGGATGGAAGCCAAAAATAGTAGTTTCATCATCTACCCTTTCTACAAGGACCAAAGGTAAAAGTTATATATTTTTATTGCCACAGGATTAGGAAGTACTGAACTGTATCTAGGACAGTGGGGCCCTCCCAGCTTACAGGAAGCTGGCTGCACACTTCAGAGATTTTATAAATAATGTTCACACACCACTTAGACTTTATTAAACTGCTGATCTCCAGGCCTTGTTCCTAGACATTCTGATTCCGTAAGAGCTGGCTGGGGTTAGGAAACCACCTTTGCACCTCCATGTGCAATTCAGATGCTCTTAAAGTTTGAAAATCATGCTTTAGAGCAGAAATTGACAAATTACCCGCCACAGGCAAAATCTGGTTTATTATCTTTATGTGTAAATAAAGCTTTTCTGGAATGTAACATTTCCTTGTCTATGTACTATCCATGGCTGCTTTCACACTACAGTGGCTGAAGTGAATTGTTATGACAGACACCATATGGCCCATCAAGTCTAAAGTATTTGCTAGTTGGCCTTTTATGAAAAGAGTTTGCTAATTCTTACTCTAAAGCTAAAGTGTTACAATTCTTACAATTCCTATATACCCAGTTGTAGATAGGATTTAAACTCAAAGATACTTAACTCTACTAAGAACTTAGTTTGGGGACTAGGGATTTAGCTCAGTGGCATTAAGTGCCTGCCTTGCAAGCACATGGTTGTGAGTTTGATCCTGGTACCGATTTTTTTAAAAAAAGAACTTAGTTTGGAAGTAAATTTTTTTGCATAGTTTGATTTTTCTAGGATCGTTAGCCAACCAGAGAGCTCTATGGCTCCTGAGTAAACTACAGAGGCTATACGTATCTTTAGCCTTACAGTGAGAGTGATTGGAAGCAAAGCTTATGATTTCTATGATCTGTGCATCTCAAAATAGTCCTTAACAATCTAACAAATTAGAGGTGGGGATTTAGTTTACCCACATAGATGCCTGCCTGGCAAGCATGAAGTCATGAGTTCGATTCCTGGTATCAGTAATAATAATAATAGTAATAGTAATCTAACAAATTAGCAGACAGACATCAGGTAAATAGATTCCAAAAACCAGAATACTTGCCTGAATTTTAGGAAAAGAAATGCTGCTCTGTCTACATCTGAAACGAGACACCGTGACTGTGACTAAAGTTTAACCAGTTGCTGCTTCCTCTTGCCAGCTACCTCTGTGACTTTCCAATAGCAAAGAAGTAAATATGTGATGCTACTAATATATATATTTGTGTGTGTGTGGGGGGGGTTCTTTTTTGCTACTGGGAATCGAATTTAGGACTTCACGCTTACCAAGCAGGCACTGTGTCACTGAGCTAAATCCCCTAATACATAATTTTTACTTTTCCAAACTATGCTTATTTCCTCAACTCCTGGGTAAATTGCAATAAGTAAATAATACAAAAATGTGATTTATTGTTACTGTTTAAGAGAAATTAGCTTTTTGGTGCTAAGACAGTTGATATACTTGTTCCTTTTTTCCTTTTGCTATCAAGTCAAGTTGGTGAGTTCTACGGTATTTGACCTCTATTTTCAATTTGTCTAATGCTATTCAGTTTATGAAATAAAATTCTTTTGTCTATGCATTTGAAATAAGTTACAGCAAACGCAATCCAAATGGAGTAATAAATGCCAGAGACCCCCTCTCTTCCTTTTCTTTCCCTTCTTACCATATCAATTTCCTGTTTTATTCTACATTGCCCATTAAACAACAGAATATGAATTTAGTTCCAATTATACAGTAATATTTTCAGATAAGAAGATATGGTTCTCTTTGGGATTACACTAGGCAAATGTGTAAGGCAGCTCTGGCCTGAGTGTTGTGTTTGTTGCTAGGCCTCCCTATTTTAGGACAGCTTAAAGTGACTGAGCTGTGGAAGAAGGCATTATAGCCCAGAGATTAAGAATACATTCAGATTCCCTGATTTCATAACAATTTAGTTTCACCATAAACTAATTATGTGACATTGGGAAAGTGACCTAATTCCTTTGTGCCTTAGTTTTCACAACTGTAAGAGATTTTGTTGTTTTGTTTTTTTAAGGCAGCATCCTGCTATGTAGTTAATCCAGGAATTCATGGCAATCTTCCTGCCTCAGCCTCCCAAGTTGTGGGATTATAGGTGTGCACCATCACGCCCAGTTTAACACAGGTTTTGTAACCACTTCATGCTAGATTCCTAAGGAATAAATGAAACAATTATTTTACAAAGGTCTTACACCAGTGCAAGATTTTATCTTGAGTTTTCTACTCCATTGATTCTGTCTTTCACAGATGCAAGTCAGTCTTATGGCTTTACTTTCACCTCATTGTGGTTGATTCCTACATATGCTTTATTTTCTTTTTGCCCAAATTCATATCCACAAACTCTAATTGCTTATTTCTTGTTGTATTTCACTCAAAAAACAAGGCCCCATGATGAAAAACGAGGCAAGACCCCAAGATGACAAACGGGGCAAGACGTCTTTTAAAAGAAGCGCTTTTATTTTAGCTGGCCCAGCGACACAGTGCAGATGGAATTTGCAAAGCTGTGCAACTGAGTTAGAGTTTTGACTGATTTTTATAGTTCATTTATGATTAGCTCATTGATCATTAAGTACATAGTGATGAGAAACAGAAACAAGGTGGGCCTTTGTTCCCCTTTGCTTGAGGTCAGAGGCATTTCACAGTGGGTGGTTAGCCAATTCATAGCCCTTGGTCTGCCAATTCCAGGAACATTTGTCTCTCATAAAGGGAACAATGGTTGACACAGCATTATTTGTCTCTTACAAGGGGAACAAAAATTGATGTAGCACACAGATCACTAAGGTGGGGGGATGATGCATTACAGAACAGCAGAACCGACGCTGTCAGTTAATTTATAACTATGTGGTTGGTGCTTGGTTACTAGGGTAATGAGCTCAGTACAAAATGACAATATTACTAATAACTATCTTTTTAAGTGACTATTTTTGGTAATTATCTTTTAGTCAATTATTTTAATTTTTAGCATCTTAGTATAACATTTCTGTGTGTCTTTCTCATACCGTACTCTTCCAGATTGTCAATCCAATAACCTCAAAACCTCATGTTTGTCTTTTCCTTGGTCTAGTCCTAATCACCTAATTAGACTTTCTCCTTTACTCTTTCTCTTTGTCCTCGTTAATCCTCCAATTATGCTTTCAGTTCACTGCCCTGTTGCATTCCTGTTCCTGCTCCATTTCAATTTGTTCTGTCTACTGCCGGCAGATGGATAAAAGCTGTGGTTTCTCTGTCCGTTGTTTTGATTATTTTTTCCACATGATATAATTGATATTTTTAATTTAACATGGTACTGAAGGAGATTAATAGGCCTAAAAGAATTTATCAAGTGAGAATTTATTTTTTTAAATCTAGAAACACTTATCAAAAGCATTATTGCTTTGATCACCTTGCTCTTGAAATCCGTTAAGTGGGATTATTGATACTGATTGGATTTGTTCAGTATCTTAGCTGTGGTAATGGCACATCTCAAAACTTACCACACTGTACACTTTAACATGTACAGCTTCTTGTTTGTCATACTCTAAAACAGTTATATACAAATTTTTCACGGCTTCCTAATGTCCACTAAATAAAGTCATCCTAGGACTCAAATTTCCCCCTTACTAGAGCTCTAGTAAGCTCCCCTTACTAGAAATCATGATTTCTGTCAACAAAACCAATGTTTTGGTAAAACTGAACAACTCATCAGAACTAAAATTTTCCTACTCCTTTTTTTTTTTTTGTATTGCTTTTTTTCATTGCTACTATGACATCTTTAAGGCTCAACTCAATTGTCACATCCTCCATTAAGGCTACCCAGATAAGCTGGAAAAAATATATCTTTGCTTCATCAAAGTCTTTTTTCTTTTGCATCTTTTTTATGGTTCTTATTACAAGTAGCTTAAATTGTAGATGTGTACTTTTTATTTCTGTAAGCAGAAAAGATCTTTGACCAATACAATTTGTGAACATTTCTGTAGCATACCTCTTCTCCATTTCCTTGCATGCATATGGATATTATAAGCTCACTCAGTGAATAAGTACATGATTGCTTGATGTGAGATATCAGATTTGATTATATTTTGAACAAGATGACAAGCTTCACCAAGAATCTTTTTTTTTTTTTTTTTTTTTTTTGTCTTTTTGTTTTTATCGGTACCAGGGATCGAACTCACGACTGCCTGCTTGTAAGGTAGGCGCTTATGCCACTGAGCTAAATCCCCAGCCCCATTCACCAAGAATCTTGATTCTTCTTTTTTTAAAAAAAAATAAATAAATAAAGGTAAGTCTCTCAGTATTCTGAAACCAAAGGTGGAGTACAGTTCTATGGAGTCTGCATCAGGTGAACCAAAAGAGCTTGGCGAGGTCTCAGAATGGTTTAGTGACAAGCAGCAGAATGGTTGAGGAGCAGGGGACTTTCCACTATGGATGATGTGAAAACATGACAAACAAAGCAAGTTTCATCGAGGTATTATGCAAGCCTTTTCTGTATCCATTTACAAAAGAAAAAACAAATGTATTGTGGAGGTGAATGAAGTCATTTTTTTTGGGCCATCATGGCCTTTCTGAGCTGGACTCAGACCTCAGCGTGGATACCATTCCTGTTGTAACAACAGCCTTGCTGTTTGGGCAGCAGCACCAGGGGAGTACTCTGCCTGGTACATCGGCCTCCCTCCCAGGGCAGCCTGTCTGTTTCCGACAGAGTGACAGTGCTTTGCCAGACTAACAGCATACACTGTGCACCGATCTAGGCAAGGGCCGTGGAATAACCGACAGTGAATAACCAGCTCAAGAGTGGATTTCCCACCGAAGTAACCATTTTGTCTCCCCCAGAACTGGCACGCTTTCCTCCTGCTGGAGCTGCTACTGACTACCCATCTCTCTGTTGTTTCTTTCTTTTTAAACAATTTTTCCTCACTCCTCTAGGTAGTTACTCATCTACAACTTCACTCCCTCCTAATGCTCACCTTCGATGATTTTGGCAAAGTGTGAATTTTTACTGCATGGAATCACTATGTTCACTTGTAATTTATGGTTTACATGTTTCATCGTAAATTCCTAAATTCTTTTAGTTAGTTGCCAGTAGGACTTGCTTCTTCTTCCCAGCTCTTAATCTTCCCACAGGATACAAATGAGTCAACAGTATATTCATTATCTGTGAGAAGAAGTGTGAGAAAAGTTTAGATTGTTTAAAAATAAAGCTGAAGGATTTTTTTGTTTTGTTTTGTTTTGCCTTCAGTTTGTTTTTTGCTCACTTGAGTGGTCTGCTCAGGAAATAGCCTTGTAGCTAATGGGGTTTTGAGGTTTAGTGATTTCATAAAGTTTCTGTGCTTTTTGGACTTATAATAGAGCAAACACTTAAGAATTGCTGCTTGTTTTTAAAAAAAATTCTGCAGTTCTAATAAGACATTAATTACAGATCCTTAAATTTTGGATAAAAATACTCTGGCAGCATTCAAGAAAGTCTCTTTTTCCTCTTTCCTATTTATTTCTGTCTCCTTCCTTAAGAAACAAGAAAGGACGAGATGGCTTTAAAATGTAGGTTTGAGGGCTGAAATTTTATTTTATTAGGCATCTTTTACCTGATTAATACAGATTTAATAAGATTCTTATTAATAGTTAATAATAAGATATTTATTTATTTATTTTTGCAATATTGAAGATTAAACCTAGTGTCTTCAAACTGAGATGCATCCCCAGCTATTTATTTGATTTTGAGCCAAAGTTTTACTAAGTCATTAAGTTGCCCAGGCTGGGCACAAACATGCTATTCTCCTATCTCAGCCTCCCAGGATGCTGGGATTATAGTCATGTACCACCATGACTGCTATTGAAGTTCTGTTTTTGACAGAGGTGAGGACATTATAAAGAGACAGAGATTAGGAAACCATATCTTTTATTTGTTCAAACACAGAAAATCATCTTTGTTGTAGGAGTATGCTTTGTTACTCTACAAATAAGCAAATTAGTTTAGAGTATTTTAATTTTTATCAGTAATCAAGTTTATATATTTAGTTTGAGATTCTTTTTTTAAAAAACTGGTTTAGGATTTTTTTCATTATATTCTGCTTTGCTTATGTGATATGTATAGCCCCTAACATAGTCCTTGCATTTAGTGAATACTCCGTGAATTTGTTAGACAATGAATGGGTTTTTGTGGGGATTTTTTTCTAATTAAAAAAGTAGTATAAAAATTTTAAAATAGCCGGGCTGGGTAAAATAGCTCATACCTGTAATCTCAGCGCTCGGGAGGCTGAGGCAGGAAGATCCTTATGAGACTGAGACCAGCCTAGGCTAGAAAGTGAGCTCAAGGCCAGCCTGAACTGCATAGAGACACCCTGTCTCCAAAAAAATTTTTTTTAAAACTAATTCTTGATCCCATCACATGAGTTGATTCTTTTGCATCTTTTAGACCTCACTAACTACATATTTTTATATGATTTTAGTTATTATGATCTTGAAATGATGGGGTTTTTGTAACATTTTTCCATATTTTGTACGTTCTAAGGTAGTCAAACAGCAGGGCAGCAAGAAATTCTCCTTTAATACTTCATTTGGATAATCTGAGAAAAAGTATCCCATTACAAATATTGCTGAAGAATCAGCAGTCATTGTAATTTTTGTGAACTGGGATTGAAATTCTTACTCATTAAGAGGATGCAGCCTCTTTAGTGTCCAGAATTGTGGTTTCCTGAAGGAGAATAATGTTTCAAAAACACAAAGGATTACTAATATCCTAAATAGAGGAAATACAAACAACATGTTCATGGTTTTCTTCAGTTACTTTAGATGAATTTTGTTAACATGTTATTCATTGAAATTCTACCCTCAAACAAAAATAATGTGCTGACTTGGGGTGTTGGTGGATTTGCACCCACAGAAGAGAAAATTTATGTAAGCTGTTATCTGGAAGCTTTTCCTAGAATAGCCTGCCTAGCAGGACCAAAATGCCATATGCACAGGATGGTTTTCTGAAACAATATTTTTCCCAAGACAAGTTGCAAAGTAAAAATGTCTGATAGAAACCATTTCTCAGCTTTATTTTCATAGTTAGATGAGGCTGCTCTGTGTTGTGCAGAGTAGCCTCAAACTACTGGGCTCAAGAATACTCTTGTGTCATCTTCCTGAATACCTATAAGTATAAGCTAGTATCAGTTCTCTTCAGACTTTCTGACCTAAAAGATGTACTGTTGTCACCAAAGTACTTGATTGACTTTCTTTTTGTTGCTCCACAGTTTGCCAATGTTACAATCTAAGGGATAGCAGGCTGACGGCCATGTCTAGTGCTGTTGTCAGGTCCAGCTTCTCCAGGCTGTACATAGAACAGCACCTTAGTCTTTACACTCGGAACCCAAGTGAAGAGCATAAAATTGCAGGGGGATTGAAGAGATGCTGAAGTCGACTGTACTTCCCTTAGTGGTGATTAGGATTTCTTCAGTCCTGAGAATGACAAACTGTTAGAAGCAACTGACTTTGTTTGCTTCATCCAAAGAAGAATTTGAAGTCAATATGGCCGACTTAAAATTTCAGAATAAACTGGGCATGGTAACCAATGATCCCAGCTACTAACGAGACTGAGGCAGGAATACCATAAACTCAAGGCCAGCCTGGAAACTTAGGGAGAAACTGTCTCAAAATGAAAAATTTTTCTTTGTGTTTGAAGGTCTAGCAATGTAGATCAGTGGTAGAGTAATAGTCTAGCAAGCATGAGGCCTTGCGTTAAACTTCAGTACCACAGAGAAGAGAAAAGAAACCCAGTTTTGAAAAAAGATGCCTTCTCTGATGAGCAGAAGTTTGCCATCAATCCTGCTGACAAGAAACTGCAAAGAACAGCCTGGGAAGCAACTGTGTAACTCCAGTATCTCTCTGCTTTCCTGGACCTAACTGAACTTTGCAGAGGAAACCGCGTCGGCAGGGCTTTTGTGCTCACTGGGGAAATGGAAGACGCAGCCCTCATTTGTGAGAGCTGTAATTCAACCTGGGTGAGTTTTGCTTAAAGGTGATGGAGTGGAACAGTCTCAGAGCTAAGCAGACCACACTGTATGTTTTGGTTAGCATTTTGTTTGTTAAAAAACTTGAATTGCATCAGGTTCTTTTGTTGAGAAGGAAGGCGCTAGGGCCCTGGAGTGAGCTGATGGCTTTGTTGTGTGACCACAGAGGCTGGTTTCGTACTAATTTCCTCTAGGGCTTGTGATGAAGTCAGTAAACCACAACCTTCAGCATGCTGTGCTCGGGCGGCGGCAGTGGCTTTGGTGTTGTCTCGGCCATGACACACATTTGACATGCCCTCCCTCAACCCTCGGGCAGACTCTTTCTTTTGCTCTGCAGCATGGACCAGCGCGAAATTCTGCAGAAGTTCCTGGATGAGGCCCAAAACAAGAAAATGAGCAAAGAGAAAGTTGCAAATGAATTTCTGGTGAGTCCTGTGTGACGCTCTGGGAGTCGCTGCATACACTATTTAACAAGCTATGGTGGTCTAAATCTCCGGGACTAAAGTGCTTTTGGGATAAAGTGAATATCACACCTTGGAGGGGAAGAAAGTAGCCTAAAAATTTAATTTCTCTGAATGTTTTGAGTGTATTTCAAGTGTTTTCTCAAAAAAATACAGGTTTTAACACAGTTCTTGTTTGTTTTGTGGGTCTTTCGGAGTTTGACTAGGAATCCCCCAGGATACACAATTCCTGATGTATACATCCCACAGGATACACAATTCCTGATGTATAAAATGTTAACTGAACGTTCAGCATTTCCTAGGTATCTGAGTTATAGCTTATGCTTCAAATTATAATGGTAATTAATAGGAAGAGGAAAGGGTCCAAGATTAACTTTTTATGATACATTATGTTTTTAGTCTCTCCATGAGATTCCATTTGGATGCCAGATGTTTTTGAGGAATACCAAAACTACTCATTACCACTTTCTTGTTTCTCTCTTTTTTTTTTGAGAGGGGGTGATATTCATTAAAACAGGATCTTGCTCAGCAGTCGAGGCTGGCTTCTTTATGTAGCCTAGATGGTCTTGCAGTCCTATAATTTGCAGTCCTCCTGCCTCAGCCTCCCACACTTTCCTCTTTTTTTCTTTTTCCTATGAAAAAAATTTGGAACACGTGTTTTTGCAGTAACAGGTTTCCTTAACTTCTACTGCTTAGAGATGCAGGTGTGGAGACAGTGAGGGATGTGGAGAGAAATGGGAGTGCAGGGTAGTGCCGGGTCAGGTGGATTTGATTACCCAGAGAAACAATAACTGTCCTGGGAAGGAACTGTGGTTATTTGATGCAGTGGAAGTTGGGTGGCCTCAATTTACCTTATAACCTGGCACATCAGATAACACACGAGGTCTGATAGAACCTATCATGTGTTTTGAAATGCTTCTAGTTGGTGTTTTAGTGCTGTGAGAACTCAAACTCCAGCTCTTCAGGTGTGAGGAGGGGAAAAAACAAGAGAAAGGATGTGTCATCAGACAAATCAAACATGTTCCTTAATCTCCCAAATCTCTGCTTTCTAACCTATAAAATGAGGATAATAATTTATGTTCTACCTATCATTGCAAGATTGTTGTGATGATTAGATATCAGTATTAGTTATGAGCTGGGCATGCTGGTATACACTTGTGGTTCCAACTACTCTGGAGGTTAAAGTAGGGAAGACTGTGAATTCAAGAGTAGCCTGGGCTAGGACCGGGGGTTTAGCTCAACAGTGTGAATGCCTGCCTGGTAAACATGAGGTCATGAGTTTGATCCCTGGCACCAAAAAAAAAAAAGTAGCCTGGGAAGTTTACTGAGACTTCCATCTCAAAACAAAATGGTCATTCATTAATGCTTATTGAGCACTTAACTATATATCACTTTTGGATGGAGGCATCAAGGATACAATATGAACAAAATGAACAAAAGCCTTTGCCCTTTAGAACTAAAATTCTGGTACTAGATAGAAAATTCTCTAGTCTCCAATAATTAGATATTGTGATTGATTGATCAGATATTATGATAGAAAATGCTGTGTCACCAACTCAGGTAATATCATGAAAAAGTGCCCTTATGGCTACTGGCCAGGCAGTCTGAGCCTCTGGCTAGAGCTGAGAGGAGGTAAAGAGGAAGTCCTAGCTCGTAGTCTGCTTAGACATGTGCCTGCGCTTGGACTATAATTCCTGAGCTGACATCCAACACATTAGGTAAAAAACTAACAGGCAGTACCAGCCTCTACTTTGCTCTGGTTTATACGTTTTAAAACAATGTACAATGCATCCCTAATATTTCATGCTGTTTTTCAGCCCAGGTCCTTATAATCACTCACCAAATTACAGCACCTACTCTTAATTGGTTTTCTGCTTCTAACCTAGTCCCACCTTGAATTAATTTTCTTTTCAACACCCAAATGATCTTTTAATAATACAAATTCTAGCCATGCTTTGCCTGCTTAAGAACTTTTTATACTTTGTATTTTTTTAGCTGTTTGTAACTGGGAGCTACAAAACACATTTAGAAAAGTACTTAAACTGTGGAAGTATAATTATAAAGCAACCATCATCAATGCAGCCACCACCCAGGTCAAGAACTAGAATGATGCCAGAGCCAGAAGCCTCCTATGTACCCCTTTCTCATCAGGCCTCCCGGCCCGCCCACTCCACCCTACCCAAGGGATAATCACTATCCTGACTTTTGTATTAATCACTTCCTTACTTTTCTAGCTTCTGATTTTAAGAACCTTGTTTTTGAATGGTGATTAAGTGAAACCTCACTGTTCACTGACTCACGTCCTCCAGTGGAAAAACAGAGTGTTGCCCTCAGCCCCACCTAAAAGCTGAGCTGAGACACTGGAGAAATAGCTTTAGGGTTGGGGTGGAGTGTGGGTTGGGGTGAATAGGGCCAGATCGTGTGCTTGGATGAGGTAAATACTGCCATCAAATTGGAGAGCCTTCTACTTGGTTAAGTCCTACATCCCACTTTAAGCCTATAATTTGATACTTCTATGGTTTAAAATCTTGATTCTGTAACACCAAGTCAAGCCCTTTCTTGACTTTCTGAATTGATCAAATCTTTCATAAGTTAGCACCATCTGATATTTTTCATAGCATTAACACAATTTCCATTTTACGATTATTTGTGATTATTTTATTAACGTTTGTTTCCCTAACACTTTGAAGCTAATGTTCAAATTTGTTCTGCTTATCTTGGTATCTTCTGTGACTAGCACAGTATTAGGCACGTAGTATATACTGAGACATACAACTTACCGAAAGAAAGCTGACAGGTTAAAGAGCTATGATTTGAAATAGACTGTGTATGTGTGTACACTAAGCATTGAACCTTGGGCCTTCACTGAGCTACATCCCCAGCCTTTATGTATGTGTGTATATATGTATTTATTTTTTTAGACATGGTCTCCCTAAGTCTCTGAGATGCCCAGACTAGGTTTGAACTTTTAATCCTCCTGTCTCAGCCTCCCAGAATGCTGGGATTACAGACATGTGCAACCATACCCACCTAAAACTATCTAATTTTTGAGCTTGTGCCATTAGTATTTTTCTCTCTTTGCTATTCTACCTTCAATTTATCCATTGACCTTAATTTTTACACTTTTGAAGGTTGTAAAATAAGATAAACCCCCAAATCCCATGTTAAATACAGATATACAAACAATAATAAAGTAGGCACACTGTGAGCAAGAGATAGAACAATGCCCAGATCACAGAAATCTCTTGGGTAGCCTTCCAAATACCAACTCATCATGCACCTTGCAAAATTAAAAGTAAAGCCAGGCATAGTGGCTCACGCCTGTAATCCCAGCACGCCGGAGGCTGAGACAGGAGGATTGTTGTGAGTTCGAGACCAGCCTGGACTACAAAGTGAGCTCAAGGCCTGCCTGAACTGCATAGATAGACCCTGTCTCAAAAAGACAAAAAAAGAAAAAAAAAGATTAAAAGTAAACACTATCTTTGATACATTTTTCGTTGTTTTACTGCATTGCCTTTATATCTCTCTATAGTGGTCTCTTGGTTTACAAATGCTTTTGTTTGCAAGCAATTTGGTTCACAAACAGAAGCATGTGATAAAATTTTGCTTTTGTCTGCAAATTCTGTATCAGAGGACAAACTTGACTGTGGCCCTCCTTCCCCCACAAACACAAACTTGGCCATCTTTTCCAAAGTCGTAGAACAAATTAAATTTGTGAACTGAGGTAACACTGCACCTCATTAAACAACAGAGACTATTTTTATTTGTTTTTGAACCAAATATAAATAAAATTGTAATTGTTTCCTTACATGTCTTGTTCTTTTGACTCTACATTTAGTATTAGTATTAGTATTTTGGAGACAAGGTCTTACTATGTAATTCAGGTTGGCCTTGAACTTACTTGTAGCACAGACTTGCTTTGGACTCATGGTGGACCTCCTGCCTCAGCCTCCCACGTGCTGAATTACAGGGAGATACTACTAGGCCTGGCTAAATCTAGCTGGGTCTTAATTTTTCTATCATGTTTATTAATTCTGTGAAGAACCTGTGGATGCAATTACTGTTGTGATCACAGAATACATGGAAAGAGGTCAGAGAGTCAGTCTGAGTGGCATTATCCACTTTGAATCATTGTAGCTATGTCTGGTCTATTAGCTTTACCGGTTTATAAATTCAGTTTTATTACTATATAGAGAGTGGATCAGGATGCACAGAAATTCCCCAAAAACCAGAAGACCTTTATCAGTTTTTTAAGGGAGACAAGTAAGTGCCAAATTTAGTAAAGTTTGCATTGACTAGCCAGTGTATTATCCACTTTGTACAAAAGGAAGTATAGAAAGCTAACTATAATCAGAAAATGCTTGGTGAGCACGGCGACTTTAGTGGCCTCTGCTCTGACGAGATGATGTCTTCATCTTCTTGTCTGAACCTCAGGCTCATGGCCCACACTCTCCCAGGACAGCAGTAGGAACACAGTGAAAAGTGCTTGCTATCTTGCTTTACTTTTTCGAAACTTAACGAGGACCACACTCTTCCATAGCACATTCTTTATCAGCTCAACTACAATTTGCAAAGGAACAGGCATCTTCTTTGATGCCTTTGATCATTTGCAGCAGCTAATTTTGTTCTGATGCTATGTATATTTCAGCTATGGTCTTATATGTGAGTTAAGGCTCGATCTTGTGTTGTATGCTGGCCAATTTTGCAGCACATATTTCTATTGAAAATCCTTTAAATGTGTATTTTTCTTTTGTACATTGGGGGCATGGGAAGCATTTTCATTTAAAAAGCATGTGTAAAGCTATGAACTGCATATAAAAAGTCAAGAATTGAGCAATTTTATATATGTTCCTTGGATATCTATATGTATGTACAATGACTGGATGGGGTACAGAAATATGAACACAGCCTCATGTAGATGGGTTAATTTCGTTATAGCAAATTTTCTTCTTTTTAAAAACTAT